GGGGCATCGCGCGGGCTAATGGAGGCGGAGGTGGCCGCTTCATAATAATTAGGATTCTACTTTTCGTAGTTCCCCGTAGCCCCCTTCATCTCCCCCCGGTACTACTGGGTTTGACCAGCTGGTGGTGCCTTGTGGGCATGGCCACTGGTGGTCCCGTCACAGTTACCCAATCGCAGCTAGTCTGTTCTTCACTGTTGTCGACTGGGTGCTGTCCCGGTTGACCCGTCGCTGTTACCCAGTCGCAGCTAGTCTGTTCTCCACTGCTGTCTCCTGGGTGCTCCGGTTGACTCCCGGGGTAGGGGAGGAGTGGAGATCCTCCATCGCTCCCCTTTAGAAATATAGATTTCGCGTTTCTGTGCTGTAGCGTTGACTCACTCCAACTCCCTGCCTACACGTCAGTCTATCTTGACTTCACCGTGTTGTACGTCTGGTGACTCTCATGACCTCAACGAGGACATCTTGGTCACCTTGACGTTGGCTTAGGTCGTCATGGTGAGGAGGTGGTTGACACCTTGGCTTCCATGGATGAGGACGTTGTCTTGGGCATCGATGGATGAGTACGTTGAGGTGATGTTAGGTTCAAGTTTTTTGGGTCTCTCCTTTACTAGATGGTTCGAGTCTCCAAAGTGACTAAGCGTTCTGGTGCAGACCTGTTTCTTAGGTCCTCAAAAGGTGCACACCACTGTTGTGGTGCACCAGGTGTGGTCTCTCCTTGGCGGGTCTGTTCGGCTCCCTCTCTAGTGGAGGTTGACGCTGTCCCTGATGTAGCCTATCAGTAGGATGCTGAAGACGTAGGCTTGGATCACTGAGATCCCGAACTCTAGGCACACGATCGCTACTACCCCTGTGATGGGGATGATCCCTCCTACGAGTCCTGCCGTTGAGGTGCTCATGAGGCTTAGGATCAGTCCACCTAGGATGACCATGAGTAGGTGTCCCGATAGGATGTTGGCCGATAGACGTAGTCCTAGGGAGATGGCTCTCGAGCTGTATGACAGTGTCTCGATGACTACCAGTACCGGCACTAGTGCTAGCGGTGTCCCTGTTGGCACGAACAGGCCGAAGTACTCTAGGCGGTGTAGCCGTAGCCCGATCAGTACGTTACCTATTCATAGGGTCAGGGATCACGAGATGATCAGGACTAGCTGTGCTGTGATGGCCATTGAGTAGGGGATCATCGAGATGAGGTTGGCTACGAGGATGACGTTGAAGGTTGTGAACAGGAGCGGTAGGTAGGCTCCCTCTCTCTGCGTCAGGTTGCTGATGGTGTCGTTGATGGTCTCTATCGCTAGGCTTCATCGGCTTGACACTACCTTGGGTCCTATGATGGCGCTGTACCCGTAGATGATGCTACCTACTAGCACGATGTAGATGACGTAGTTGGTTAGGCTTAGGGTGTAGAGTGAGTTGAGCTGTAGCAGTGGCTTGATCTCGAACTGCTCTAGTGGTGATCAGTACATCTTGGTTGACTGGCCTGTCTACTTAGGCCGTACTCCATCTTTCATTACGTTGGAGGTCTTGTATGGTCTAGAGGGACCTTCGTCTCTCTAGCGTTCTGGTGGTGTCTTAGGTATCCTGGCGTTCTCCTGGTGACCTAGATCTCCTGGCGTCTGGGCTCTAGCCCTTGACTATGGTTTGTCGTACTAGCTTTCGCTTGAGTATGGCTGGCAGTGTGACTGTAGCGTTGAGGTACAGTGCTATGCTGAACCCGATGATTCCTACCGTGAGTAGGTGCATGAAGTAGAACGGTATGAGTTGAGGCATGACTCTGTGGCTATGGTGATGCTTAAGCTGTCTTGAGTCTTCAGATCGATAGGACTTGAACCTATAAGTTCCTGCTCCCAATGCAGGCTCGTTACCATTGACGATACAATCTGGGGTCTTCAGTCTACTGGCACGGTGGACTTGAGGTCCTCGTGACGTTGGCTGATGTGTGTCCCTAGCTCTCCCGATCTGGGTGGGTGTCACCTTCTCGTGGTCTGTGGAAGTCTCAGGGCTACACCGTAAAGGGAGTTGAACCCTGGTACGTTGAGTTGCAATCAAGTAGCTTACCCCAAGCTCTTACGGTGGCTTAGCCTGTCTATGACTTATACTGTCTAGGACTTTCATTACGACATACGTGATTCGAACACGCAAAGTAGCATTGGAAGTGCCATGGTTTACCGTTAGCCTAATGTCGTGGTGGTGGCTCTCTCTTTGGCGTCCTAGTAGGCTGTGACTCTCTCACCGTCTTAGTGGGACAGTCACTCTCTCACCGTCCTAGTGGGCTAGGTGGAGGGCTAACTGCAACGGGAGTTGAACCCGTGCGACTACTGTGAAGGAGTAGTATCATACCGTTAGATCATGCAGTCTGTGCCAGTATGAGGACTTGAACCTCAAGTCTTCCGATTACAAAACGGCTGCTTCACCAGTAAAGCTTTACTAGCATCTGGACATCGTCCTAGTAGGGGGTCTCTTAGGTGACCTTGGGGTGACCTCTTGTCTGTGACGCTATCGGTGTCTTCGGAGTCTCCGGCTACCGTGCTGTCATGGGTCACTACTGAGAGTTGAACTCAGGTTGCTCATTCCACATACGAGCGTTCTACCGTTGAACTACAGTAACCACTGTGGGGGAGGACTGAATCGAACAGTCGAAGCGTAGTGCACTATAGCTACAGTATAGCTCTAATTACCAACATTAGGACTCTCCCATGGCGCTCTAGTGGGGAGGCTCTGTGCTCTCGAGAGCGTAGTGTGGCGGTGCGACTAGTAGGACTCGAACCTACATGGCCGTGGCCTGGACAGCTTAAGTGTCCTATGTCTACCGTTCCATCACAGTCGCTGGAGGGATGTGCTGTCTCATCCTACTTGTTCTTCTTCTTGTTGCCCTTGAGGGGCTTGACGGGTGTCGGAGTTGGCACTCTTCTAGCTTTTAGCTTTTGGGTGGTCCTTGATGTACTTGTCATAGTCTTCCTGGACCTTCCTGTAGTCTTCCTCATACTTGTCCATGAAGAGGTCGGTGGAGTCTCAGTTTGAGGTGTTGACCTTGGCGTCCTTGAAGTTGGACTCGATATCCTTTTGTATGGTGCGGGATAGCTCGGTGGGGTACTTGATCTCGAACAAGAGGTTTCCTAGCACCATGGTGGGTCCGGTAGTCTTGGCCTTCGTATCATATATGTTGGCTTGGTCGTCGGACTTGGTGAGTGTTAGGAAGAGCAGTGGCTCTAGTGCTTCGGGGCTCTTGAGCATCTCGTCGATCTTGTCTTTGGTGTGTACTACAACGGTTCGGTAGTACACTTTGTCCTTTGGCTCTGCTGGTGTGACCTTCTTGGTGTAGACTGCCTTGACTTCTATCCGGTGGATCTTCTTAGCGTACTGCTCTATCTTTTTGAGGATCTTGTGGAGTAAGATGTGGAAGGACTTTAGCTCGGCTAGCTTAGGGTTGGCTGTGACCCTGTAGAAGGGTAGTTCGGGCTTCTCGGGTTCGTAGTAGTTGAGGTTGACTATCCCTGATAGATTCTCTCTGTCTTGGCCCTGCTGGTGCTCTCACTCGTCTGGACTGATGGGGGGCTTAGTCTTACTCTCCTCGATCTTCTTGGGGTCTCAATCGTCTGGATGGATGGGCATCTTAGTCTTACTCTCCTCGATCTTCTTGGGGTCTCAATCGTCTGGATGGATGGGCATCTTAGTCAGTCTCAGTCTCTGCAGCCCTCTGATAGAAGCGTGTCAGTCTGATCACGCTTAGGCGGATCTCGAAGATGAAGGCCATCACGAGGAGGGTCAAGAACGCTATCAGCGTGCTTAGACCGTAGACTGAGGATGATGCACTGGCTAGAGTGTAGGGTAAGATAGATGAGATCTCGAGGTCGAAGGGGAGGAACAAGATGGCGATGAGGATGAAGCCAACGCTGTAAGCGGCTCGGGACTGGAGGAAGGAGATGAACCCACACTCGAAGGGCTGGGCCTTCTCGGTGTACCCGTTGGAGGTGGCTATGAGTAGGTTGATGCCTACGAGTGCCAGTGCTACTACGGGCATGAGGATGATGTATGGTAGGCTCACTAGGTGCTCAGTAGGATCAGTCCCTCTGATAGTCATGGTAGGTAAGCCGAGCAGCACAGTACCATGAGTGTTAGTGTTGATATGATGTACGCTACTCCTCCTTCTAGCCCTACCGTGCTGGTGCGTCTTTGCACCAGACCGAGGGCCAGTCTCTTGATGATGGTAGCGTAGTAGTAGGTCGCCACTCCGCTCGTCACCACCAGTAGGAGAGCTTCCATGACGTAGTTGTCCCACATCGCTGTTGTCAGGATGAGGTACTTGGCGTAGAAGCCTGCCAGTGGGGGTATGCCTATGAGTGAGAAGATGCTCACTATGAAGCACAGCGCTAGGCCCTTGTTGGGTAGCACTAGCTGCTCTAGCAGTAGCAGTGGGGATCAGTGCGATCTTGCGGTTACGTACCGTCCTGCTGCTAGGATGATGGTGAAGATGAGGACATGAGTGATGATGTACTGTACTAGGTAGGCGTAGAAGCTTGGGTCTCCTGTCAGTACCGACAGCATGAGGTATCCGAAGTTCAGCACTCCACTGTAGGCTAGTATGACCTTGAGGTTGATGGTGTACAGAGGTCTCAGCGCTCCTACTAGCAGGCTGAGGTAGTACACTAGGACCAGCGCGCTGGTTGGTATGTTCCCCAGGTGGTTGTAGGTTCAGCCTACCAGCGTCACCTTGGCGATGACCGAGATGTAGGCTGTGATGTGCGTTGGCGCGTAGTTGTACACCGCTATGCTTCACTGGTGGAAGGGCGCTAGTCCCATCTTGATCATGAAGGCTATGATGATTAGTCAGTATCCCATGGTTGGGCTACCGTAGGCTTCTAGGAGGGTGTGCTCCTGTACCTCTAGGCTTCCGGTGTCCCGGTACAGGACGTAGATCCCTAGCAGTAGCACGATCGAGCCTAGTCCTCCGATGATGAAGTAGACTAGACCGGCTCGTGTGCTGTCATAGGATCTGTTGTGGATAGTGGTTAGGATGTAGAGGCCGTAGCTCTGTAGCTCTACCAGTACGTACAGTGCTAGGAGGTTTTTAGACATGATCATCAGGCACGATCCTAAGACGGTGGCTGCGATGATCAGCTCAGTGTGGGGGATCTCATCTCTCTGGTCCATCTGGAGTCATAGGCAGCTCAAGCCGAGTACAGTGAGGATGAGGATCAGGTTGCCTTGGGACACTTCGAGGGTGTCTAGGTAGAGTGATAGGTGGGGCTCATGGCCTCCGTTGCTCAGGGTTTGCTCTAGGCCTATGAAGACGAGACATAGTGTTAGTAGTCTTAGCGTGCTGAGTCGGTGGCGCTGTTTGAGGAGGTATGTTACCGTTGATACGAGTAACATGAAGCACAGCCAGAGTCGAACTGGCATCGGTTCATCCGAAGTGAATTGCACTACCTTTGTGCTATGTGCTTGTATCTTTCATCGTTCCCCCACACCCTTCTAGGGGGGAGTGGGGCTGTACGCCGGTCAATCAGTGAATCGAACACTGACCCTGTGTAGGAGCTACATAGCAAGTAGCTTAGCATACCAGTATGCAAGATTGACCTGTGGTGCTTGACCGTGCTAATCTAGGATCCTCATCAGTAGACGATGATGTAGATGAAGAGTCAGATGACGTCTAGTACGTGGAGGTACAGGATGGTGGCTTCCCCGAACACGTGCGACTCGTTGGTGAAGTCGTAGTTGTACACCCGCACGGTGCAGAGGACTAGCATGATCGTCAGCATGATCATGTGGAGACCGTGTAGGCCTGTCAGGCTGAAGAAGGTGCTTCCGTAGACACCGTCGCTTAGTGTGAAGCCAGCGAACCGGTACTCTAGGCCTTGGAGGACTACGAACAGTGCGATGAGCCCTGTGCTGTAGGCGAAGCCGTACAGCGTGTTGGTTCGGTCTCCGTTGATGAGGCTGTGGTGTGCGTAGGTGATGGTCACCCCTGAGGCTAGCAGGATGATGGTGTTGAGTAGGGGTAGCTCTGCTGGTGAGATCACTTCGATCCCCTTAGGTGGTCAGGCTAGGCCGATGTCCATCGTTGGGTTCACTGCTGAGTGGAGGTAGGCTCAGAACAGTGAGGCGAAGATTAGGATCTCACTCAGTACGAACAGCAGGAAGCCTAGGTTCAGTCCTTTCTTCACTGCTTGGGTGTGGTTCCCTAGGTAGGCGCTCTCCGCTACTACGTCTTTGAACCAGAGCGTCATGCTGTACAGTACCGCTGCTAGGCTCAGGTAGATCCCGATGTGGCTTGCCATGTAGCCGTGTGACGTTAGTCCTATGCTCAGCGCTAGGTCCATGAGGCTGAACGAGGTGAACATAGGTCATGGTGAGGGTCCTACTAGGTGGTAAGGGTGGGGTTGTATGTGTCCTCTGACGCTGTAGTTCATGGTGTCTTACGTAGCGCTCTAGTACGAGCTACGTAGTACAGCGTTGGGGGACGTGTGAGCACAGCTAGATTCGAACTAGCATTCAAGGCTTAAAAGACCCCTGTCCTGCCATTGGACGATGCGCTCGGCTACAGTCACGCTTGTTGACTGAGTCCCGCCCCACTTCCCCTTTCATCGCACTTACGTGCTGCCCAAAGCAAGACTCGAACTTGCTACTCTCGCGCTTCAAGCGAGTGCTTTACCGGGTAAGCTATCTAGGCTTTCATTACGTGTACTGTACAAGGGCAAGTAGACTTGAACTACTATAGGGTGTGTTGAAGACACCTGCTTTGCCGTTAAGCTATGCCCTTCCCTACTAGACCGTCTTGGTCTCGTACCTTGACGTTCTCTTAGGCCGTATAGGAGTCGAACCTATGTCTTTGATGTGTAAGATCAACGATCTAACCACTGATCTAACAGCCTGGTGAGTCCGTCCTACTCCTCCAGGATTCGAACCTGGATGATCACTTTAGAAGAGTGATGTTCTACCGTTGAACTAAGGAGTAGTGCCGCTGTAGTAGGCGGCTATCTCTGTTCGAGCAGGATCGGTAGCTCGTTGAAGGTGTGGTAGCCCATCGGTCTCTCTAGTACTAGCTCTAGCTCACTCACATGAGCCTGTCTTAGTAGGTTAGACTCGACGTAGTCGGGCTCTAGTTGTACCTCTGAGGCCTCGTTCTCTCCCTCCTCTAGCTGTAGCTCTACGCTGTAGAGTCCTACTCCTAGGGCTACGATTGACAGCACTGAGCCTCAGCTACTGATGAGGTTTCATCCGTAGAAGGCGTCAGGGTACTGTGGTATCCGTCTAGGCATACCGTTCAGGCCTAGGAAGTGCATGGGCAGGAAGATCAGGTTTACTGAGATGAACAGGAGTCAGAAGAACACCTCACCTAGTAGACGGTTGTAGTGTAAGCCGAACATGGCGGGGCTTCAGTAGTAGAAGCCTGCCACTAAGCTGAACAGGGCTCCCATTGATAGGACGTAATGAAAGTGTCCTACGATGTAATATGTGTCATGGAATGCTACGTCTATCGAGGCGTTCGAGATCATCACTCCTGTTAGACCTCCTATCGTGAAGAGGAACAGGAATCCTAGTGCGAACAGCATGGGGACGGTTAGTCGTAGGCTACCTCCGTAGATGGTGGCTAGTCAGCTGAAGATCTTGACCCCTGTTGGGATGGCGATCACCATGGTTGCGCTAGTGAAGTAGGCTCGGCTGTCGATGTCCAGCCCTACCGTGAACATGTGGTGTGATCATACCAGGAACCCTAGTAGACCGATCGACCCCATGGCGTAGATCATCCCGATGGATCCGAAGATCGCCTTCTTGCTGTAGGTTGACAGTACGTGGGAGATGATTCCGAAGCCTGGGATGATGATGATGTAGACCTCTGGGTGTCCGAAGAACCAGAACAGGTGCTCGTACAGCACTGGGTCTCCCCCTGCTCCTACCTCGTAGAAGCCAGTGTTGAAGTTACGGTCCATCAGAAGCAGTGTCACCGCTGCCGTTAGGACTGGCAGTGACAGCAGCAGCAGGATGGCGGTGAAGAAGATCGCTCACACGTACAGCGGGCTGTCCGTTAGCTCCATTCCTATCGTTCTCATGTTCAGTGTGGTCACGATGAAGTTGATGGCTCCTAGTAGGCTGGAGATGGTGGTTAGGTGGATGGCGAAGATCGCTAAGTCTACGCTGGGCCCTGAGTGGGCTGCTATGCTAGACAGAGGTGGATACACCGTTCATCCTGTTCCTGCACCGCTCTCGATCAGGAGTGATCCTATGACACACACCAGTGCTGGTGGTAGCATTCAGAAGCTGACGTTGTTCAGTCTTGCGAACGCCATGTCTACCGCACCGATGAGCACCGGCAGGAAGAAGTTCCCTAGTGCACCGATGAGGATAGGCATGATGAACAAGAAGATCATCCCTATGGCGTGGGCTGTGACCATGACGTTGAACACTTGGTTGTTGTTGTGGAGGTATTGGCTACCGGGTCCACTTAGCTCCATCCTGATGATCACCGACATACCTGTGGCGACCATAGCGCTGATGATACCATAGATGAAGTACAGTACTCCGATGTCTTTGTGGGATGTACTGAAGAGTCATCGTGTGGTCCAGCGCATGGCTTGTTCGGGGTGTATCAGTGAGGATGGTTGATTGCTATCCATAGTCTTGTATGTTGCTGTAGTGGTTGAATGTTAGGTTAGGGCAGTTAGAGGGTCGGTAGGGCATGTGGCCCACGGTGTTGGTTGGTTGGTTAGCTCTGATGATGAGTGTAATGAAAGTTGGGGTACGTCTAAGTGTACTGATCTCCGTCTGAGGGGGAGAGTAGGGTGGTCTCTGAGACTCTTTTGGTTCTCTTCTTTACTAGAGGTCTCTTTGCCTTCTCATGACCTCACCGTGCTGTTCGTAAGGTCTATCTTACCCCTTCAAAAAGTTACACTCAGGGCTACAAGGCTTCTTCGTCGAAGCTTGTCTTCTTCATACCTGCTCTCTCTAACTCTTCCAGTGTGAGAGGACGATAGACTAGGCTGTCGGACGTACTCCCGGTAATGAAAGCGTGGTACTTAGATTCTTGTGGGTCAACGGCAATCTTCATCATCTTCTCTATGAGGTCTTGGTCATCTGGCATGAGGACATCACTAGGCTCTATGGTGTTGGTCTCCGGATACCTCGAAGAGAGGGAAGGGGATACCATCTTGGCATGTGTGTCATCTACTCTAATGACGTAGTCTTGAGGCGAGATGAAGGCCGCTCCTCCTTCAGCCTCCAGTTCGAGTCGGAACTTCCCGAGCTCCTCGGACACGAGGTCATTCGGCAGTGGTGCTGAGGTGACAAGAGTGTCAGTGTCAGTGAAGTACACCTTGATGCCGTGGCTCTCTAGTCTTTGGATGATCTCGATAAGCTGTACCCGGGCGTAGGCTGTCATGAAGACAGGCAACGCTCCATTGGTGTAAGAGTAGAGGGGATTCCTTGAAGAACCACCTTCTCGCGTGAAGCCTCCTGTATCGCCTATAGGGTTAAAGTCTTGTGAAGCCGTTCTAGACTCGAGACGTAACCTTCTGTAGAGGTCCGAGTCTCACAATCATCGTGTCTTGACGAGTCAGGCACCTAGTCCCTTTAGCATGTTGTTGAGCCTTCACTGGCTCAAGCTTGCTTCTAAGCTATCGGAGGACATCTTGTATGCTTCTACGAGCTTAGTGATGTGCTCTCGTAAGGGATGGTTGGTAACGGAGGGGGAGATGGGAGAGAATGTATGTCCACTAATGATCTGGACTTGATAGCCGCATTGGTAGGCAAGCTCTAGCTCCATGGAGGTTCAGACACCTTCGAAGCTTCTTGTACCGTTCTCGCATGAGGCGCTTGGGTAGACGTAACCTATGTCGGTTGATATGGGGAGTACCCCTACGAGAGGATGCGGCGTGTCGGATGAGCATGTTACCTTAGCGAGGTATAGACCTAGTCCCAGCTCAGTGACGGTTTGGTCCGTAAGTCTTAGTGCTTCTGTGTAGACGGTCTCCGTTACCGTTCTACCAGGCAGTGGACAGGACGTGGCCATGGAGAGGGTTGGTCAATCTCTTCGGTATACATAGACTCGTTCTCCTTTAGGGGAGTGAGGACGTAACACGAAGCTCAACGGTTCCTGTATAGACGCGTAGAGGTAAGGGTGAAGGATCTCAGAAGTGTCGATCTGGCCCAGGAGGCTCACGTCGTTGTTCTTCACAAGATCCGTGACGCTCAATGCTGCCGCGGTATCGTAGTCTGAGAGTCAGAGACCTGTCTGCTCTTTGATGAGCAGAGTAAGGTGCTGGATCGTGAGATAGAGGCGTGAACTCTCTCTCATCAGATAGGTGTGGTATGCTAAGATGGCTCTATCGTTAGAAGACATGGGGAGCTTGGAGGTGTAGTACTCCAGCTTGAAGTCCTTCAGCGTGGGAGTCTTTCAAGAGCTTAGATCTGTCATACCTTCAGGCACTAGCTCATTGTAAGTTGGCATGTTGACGGGTCTATACGACTCACTGTCTCTCACTTGAGGAGGGATCATAGGGAAGAGATCGTCAACTGTCTTGTTCATCATGGTATCAAAGCCTATGATGACGATGGTGCTCAGCTTGCTTATCAGGCTGATGGAGTGGATCTCGTCATCGCACCTAAGAACAGAGATCTCGCCTAGAATCTGACGTACATCCTTTGTATCGTAGTCTGGCGAACTCTCTATCCTGTTGAGAGCTATGAGGAGTAGCGGAGCTATCTCCTGGAAGTTGGGGCAGTAGAGTGTGACATGTCTTCTCGCCTTGCCATGTCACATCTGTTGGAGGGCATCGTACAGCACGTCGGCCGAGATGTCTTTAACCAGGTTCTTGAGGTCCTCCTTGAGGTGAGGAGGGACTGACTCGAAGTCAGTCTTATGTTGAGACATGTAGTTCTTGACCTTAGCGTTAAGGTGCTTCATGAGACCAAACAGGCACCCTAAGCTCTTGAACTGAGTGTAGACTGATGCTGTTCAAGTGCAAGGAGACTCTCTCAGTATAGGATCATAGCATCTGTTAGGTACTACGGGTGTCCCGGTTGGCTTATGCTGACGTGAGCAGAGGACTTCCCCTTCTAGCTTGGTCTCTTGGTTCCCCCTGTATGAGAGTGTCTTGTCAGTCTTGGGTGTCATCGGAGATAAGGTACTGTACTTGGTCTCGAGGTGGCTCTTCGAGAGTACTATCGACACTCCGCTGATGATCTTGTTAAGGTCCTTACTTGCTGTCTGTCCCCTCGTCAGGTCCATTGTATCCACATAGATGCTTCCTACTCGACCTGGTATGTTCTTAGGTCATCTGCGCCCCTTGTTGGAGGAGTGAGTGAAAGATAACGTGGATCAGTGGCTTAGTTCTCAGAGGGTCTCAGTACGACAAGAGTATAGGGGCTTGCCATTCTCGATGAAGACATCGTGAGAGACACTAAGGGATCTCCGGAAGAACTGGGCACCTGGGTTGGCAGGCTGGGTGTACTGGGTAACTCGCGTGTACTCGTCGTCTCACGCATTCGTACAGCATTCAAACACTGTAACTGTACCCTCAGGGTTCTCTTCACTGGGAGCTCGTTGGAACACGTGACATTCTAAGTTTTTGTATGGTAGTACACGCAAGCTAGTGTTGCCATCTGTACAGCTCACTCAGTCCTCTAGTGCTCTCTTATGTTCCTGAGTGAGTCCTTTACACGTGTATCTGTCGTACTCCTCTAAGCTGGTGATGAGCTGACCTCCTTGTGTCAGCCATTCGCCAGTGTAAGGAAGCACTCCGATCTCCCTGAAGCTTGTACACCTCCGTCTATCGGATGGGTGAAAGTGTCTCATAGGAAAGGGTTGATTGGTTTGCATAGTCTTGTATGTTGTCGTAGTGACGTCATGTTAGGTTATGGCTGTTCATAGGGTCGGTAAGGCATGTGGCCCACGGTGTTGGTTGGTTGGTAAGCTCTTATGAGGAGTGTAATGAAAGTTGGGGTACGTCTTAGGGTACAGATCTCATGATGAGTGTAATGAAAGTTGGGGGTACGTCTAAGGGTACAGATCTCCGGCTCAGGGGGGAGAGTACGGAGGTCTCTGAGACTCTTCTGGTCCTCTCCTTTACTAGAGGTCTGGATGCCCCTTCGATGCCTCAACGTGTCTCTTCGGGGGGTATCTGTTACCCCCTCAAAAGATGCACATCCCGAGGTTCAACGGTAGGCTCGTGGGAAGGCTCTTCTGGGTCTCTCCTTTACTAGAGGTCTCTTTGTCCTCTTAGGACCCTACCGTGCTAGTCGTAGGGTCATTCTTACCCCCTCGAAAGATGCACACCTGCTAGGGACCTTGGGAGACTCTTCTGGTCCTCTCCTTTACTAGAGGTCTGGATGCCTCCTCAGGACCCTACCGTGCTGGTCGTAGGGTCATTCTTACCCCCTCAAAAGATGCACACCCCTAGGGACGTCCGGAGACTGGCTGTGGTGTTCTCTACGTCTTGTTCAGGTGGGTGACCTGGATCAGGAGGGGGACTAGTACGTCGTTAGGTTATGTTCTTGGCTATCGGCTATGCGTGCTAACCGTTTCTTCTCGTGAGGTTTGATCAGCTTGACATCAGCTTCCTTCATCTCTTTCAATGTTGGAGGGTAAGAGTTGGGTTCGTCAGTCTTAGTGGAGATGAAGGTGCGCTTGTTGTACATCTTCTTCACTCTCTCAAGGTCCTTGGCTTGTACGATCTGGCGGCTCACCATATCTGTCTCCATCTGAGTGAGTCTATCTTCAGGCTCACGGTGCCGTCCTGAGACTCCTGAGTGTACTATCTTGGCGTGAGTATCATCGACTCGGATGACGTAGTTCTTCAGGCCCATGAACCCCGCGTCACGATCAGCCTCAAGTTCTAACTTGAAGGCACCCATCTTGTCCGACACGAGGTTTCACTCGTCAGGCAGGGGTGCTGAGGTGATGACAGAGTCCGTGTCAGCGTAGTAAACTTTGATTCCATGTTCCTCGAGTCTGATGATGAGCTCCAGGAGTTGGACACGAGCATAGGCGTTGATGAATGCAGGTATGGCTACATTGGTCCGGCTCTGTGTATCCTCATCTTCAGGGACTAGCACGAAGCCTCCTTTGTCCCCAAGAGGGCGGATAAGGGATGTGGACGGGATGTAGACTCTACCGCTGTCCCACTTGGAGTACTCCTTGAGGGCAGATTTGACCTCGGAGAGCTCCTTCTTGAACTCCTCATTCTGTGAGCCGAGGACTCTAGCTTCCTTACCGAAGAGGTTGGTGATTCAGTGTCACTTGGGCTGGAACAGCTTGAGGCTTAGTCGGCCCAGTATACCGTTCATACGTAGCTTTAGCAAGCTAGCACGGAGGGAGTTGCTCTCCTTCTTACGTGCTTCGTAGAGCGTAGTGTAGTAGTCACGGAAGGGGTGGTTCTTCATCTCAGGAGAAAGAGGAGAAAAGAGTATGCCTCCGAGGATCTCGATCTTGTAACCACATCGATGGGCTAGTGCGAGCTCCATGGAGGTTCAGACACCTGAGAAGGACTGCTCCTTGGACTCGGACTCGCACGATGGGCTAGGATAGTATGTCCCGTGGTTCGTCCGGACGGGTAGGACCCCCACGATAGGGTGGGGTTTGTTGGGAGTGCAAGTGACCTTGGCGGTGTAGAGCCCTAGTGCTAGCTTCTTGACACTTTCGTCTGTGAGTGGGAGAGTCTGACCTTTCTCCAGATGCAGCTCTGTCACCCTTCTACCCGGCATGATGCAAGAGGACGCTATGGAAGGGTACGCACTTCTCCTGTCATATACGTAGATAGGGGCTTCAGGGCCGCTATAAGAGCGTAAGAGAATGTTCAAGCCTCCATAGAGGCCCTCAGCTACCCACTCATAGAGGTCAGGGCTATCCTCAGCTATCTTACCGAGGTAACCTAGGTGACTGTGTTTGTGGAGGTCCGCAAAGCCTAACCCTGCAGCACTGTAGTAGTTCCAAAGGATGAGTCCAGTCTCTTCTACAGTGTGATGGTTAAGGTGCTGCATGACCATGTATAGGGAGGAGGACTCTCTCGTCAGGAAGGTGTGGTACTTGAGGATCGCGTCATCTTGGGGAGAGGGGGAGGTGTAGCTCTTCAACTTGAGGTCGGAGAGAGGGTGGGGGAAGCATCGGAAGCGGAGGTCTCTCTCACCAGGAGACTCAAGCTCGCTGTCAGAGGGCTTAGGTACTGGGCAAGATCATGGGTTGGTATACACTTCCGGGCAATCACTAAGGTATGTGTAGTACTCAGTTTGTGTGAGGTAGCTGAAGCTCTTGATGGTGATTCGTCTCTCCTTAGTTCAAAGCTCAACGGCTAGGTACTCATCTTCTAACTTCTGGACGGAGACCTGACCTATGAGCTCACGTATGTCCTCAAAGATCTGCTCGAAGTTGTCGGTCTGTAGTCTGTTGAGAGCTATCAGGAGGTATGGGGCAACCTCGGTGAGGTTGGGGCAGAAGAGTGTCACCTGCTCTGTCACTCCCGCGTGGCGTAGTTGATCTAGTATGTCGTAGAGGATAGAGGCGGAGATGTCTCGTACCTCACTCTCTATGGTTCGTTTAGCATGCTCTTCCTTACCTCGCTTCTCCTCCCTTGTGAAGTTCTCCAACGCCTGGATCCTGTCCAGCTCGGGGTAGAGCTTATCCGCCGCCGCATGCAAGCAGCCGAGGTTCTTGTACACCGTATAGACGGAGCTTACTCAAGTTCAAGGGTACTCATTACGTAAGGTATCGAAGAGCCCGTTCAGGAGTAGAGGACGACCGGTAGGCTTACGGCGACGGTCGGTGTAAATCGGTCCCGTGCTCTCTAGGTTAGGACGTGGACCTACCATAGGTATGCTCTCTACTGGGGGTCTTGTACTCTCCTTCTTTCCCATGTGGGTGTCCTGGGAGAGGACGATGCATACACCGGTGATGGCTGTATGAGAGTGCCGAGGGGCGTACCGTGGCTTCCCTAGCAGCATCGTATCGATGAAGAGGGCACCAACTCGGCCCGGCTTACTTCATTCGGTCTTCTTTAACCGAGGGCTAGACCCATGGGACTTAGAGACGAGTGGTTTGAGCCGTCAGCTTCGGCTAGTGTAAGCTAGCTTTCCATTGCGGATCTCGAGGTAGTTTGGTCCTACGAGAGACTGGCGTCTGTACTCGTCACACTCTACCGCCGGCTGCTTGAACTGGGTATATGGCACTCAGCGATACCCCATAGGGAAGTATACAAACACTAGAGCTTGGCCTTGAGGGTTCTTCTTGGTGGGGAGGTCGATGAAGACGTGGGCCTCTCTTGTGTCTACGCGGATGACACGTATACGGTAGTCATCTTTACGGTCGCGGTAGGTCTCGAGGGCTTTGGCGTGGAGGGAGAAGCAACTTTTGGGTACGCGTGATTCATAGTCAGACACGTTGGTGTAAGTCTCCCCTCCCTCCGTCAATCAGTCAAAGCTGTATGGTAGGACCCCCTGGTACTCCTCGTCATGGCGGTTGGCCACATCCTCGAAGTCTGTGGGGGGTGCTACACTTTCTTTGTAAATTTCATTGTCTGACATGTTAGGGTATCTTGGGTTGTCAGTGTGTTCGGGCCATAAGAGGATCGTGAGGGCAAAGTGGTCCACGCTTGGGGTGTTATACATAGAAGGCCTTGGGAGGCAACGGTAGACGGGTGCGACCCCGCATCTCCTGGAATGACAATCCAGGGCTTTACACTTAAGCTACTGCCGCGCTTAGACCGGCGTGATTCGAACACGCACCGACTTAGCTCAAATCTAAGTGACCTACCTAGTTAGTCTACGGTCTAGTAGGAGCTCCTTGGCCTTGGCCTCGTCAGTTGCACACCGTGCGACTGGGTGACGTGAGAGAGGCATCGTGCCAGTGGGAGCTCATAGGAGTAGAGAGGGACCTACCGTGACAGTGGGTGCTCATAGGAGTAATGTGATACCCACCGTGACAGTGGGTGTAGAGAGGGACCCATGGTGACAGTGGGAGTAGAGAGGGACCTACCGTGACCGTGGGGGAAGAGTGTGACTCACCGTGACAGTGAGAGTTGTGAGGGACCTACCGTGACAGTTGGGGAAGAGTGTGACTCACCATGACTGAGAGTAGAGAGTAGAGAGTGACCCACCGTGACAGTGAGTGCTCATAGGAGTAGTGTGTGACCCACCGTGACAGTTGGAGCTCATAGGAGTAGTGTGTGAGGGACCGCGGGAGTCGTCACGGATGAGGGTGTGAGTGAGGTACCGTGCCAGTCGTTGCTCATCGAGGGTACATCAGTGACTCACCGCTTAGGTAGGGAGAGAGAGAGTGAGATGGAGATGAGTCTCAGTTATAGATACAACAACTTTTCTCGACCCTTAAGAGGTCTGAAAGTACTCTCTAATGGCACTCCCTACAATTCAAGCTTCAGTACTGAAGGAGCTCGTGGGCGGCCCCTAGGCCAGCCGTTGGACTGTCGAAGAGCCCCCGGAGAGCTGCCCTTAGGGCCCTGGTGGGCTTAGCTGCCTAACAGTACGATGAGGTTGAACAGGCCAGCAACTGGTAGGTAGAGCAGTAGACGTCCTATCCCAGTGCTACCCAGCACTCGTAGTAGCCCGCTGTCCGTGTACTCTCACAGTCTCCCTCCTAGTCTCAAGCTCTTCCGGATCACCAAGCTGTTCATCAGCTGGTCTCAGTAGTACCGTTGTACTAGGTAGACGTAGACACTGTGGGTCATCAGTCGGTAAGCGTACTCGTACACATAGACAACTATGCTTGACATCCCTACTCCCAAGCAGAGAGGTAAGACCTTGACTCACACTGGTAGCGTCATCTCAGTCTCGATCCAGCTCGTGTTGGACGGTAGGGTCATGCCGATGTGGTGGATCACACCGTCCCTGTAGTACCCTAAGCTGATGCTATAGAGGACTAGCACGATCATAGGGATCATCAGTCCTCATGACTCATGCACCTTCCCTACCTGTGCCTTGCTAGTGCTAGGCTGGTTGTAGAACGTCAGGTAGAGAACCCTCACCGAGTACACCGATGTAAGCGTAGCCGATGCCACGGCCAGGTAGTAGACCAAGTACCCGCTGAGACGGTACGACCCATACAGTGACTCGATGATGATGTCCTTGGAGTAGTACCCACTCAGCCCTGGGATGGCCATGAGAGACAGTGACGCTATGAGCATAGCGGTGTAGCTAAAGGGTAGGTAGGCTCGTAGTCCTCCATACACCCTCAGGTCCTGGCTCTCGGACCCATAGCTGTGGATGATCGACCCTGCCGCCATGAACAGGAGGGCTTTGAAGAAGGCGTGACAGTAGAGGTGGTAGACGGCCAGGTCATAGGCGCTGAGACCTATGGCTAGCATCATCATACTCAACTGGGACATGGTAGAGAGGGCGATGACCTTCTTGATGTCGTTGCACACTGTAGCCATGAGACCACTGACGAGAGTGGTTACACCTCCCAGTCAGAGGATCCCCAACAGAACGGTGGGGGTGTACTCTAACAGGAAGGCTGACCGAGCCAGTACGAAGACACCGGCACAGACCATGGTAGCAGCATGCAGTAGAGCGCTGACTGGCGTAGGCCCTTCCATGGCTGATAGTAGTCAAGCATGTAGGCCTAGCTGGGCGCTCTTGGCGGTGGCAGCTACCACTAGCAAGATGCCTATGACAGTGAGGAGGTCAGTCTGAGTGTAAGGCACGAGGAGTGCGATGGTGCTAAAGTTGAAGCTCTGGAAGGCCGTAATGAAAGTAGCCAACGCGACAACGAAGAAGGTGTCACCTAGACGGTTCAGCAGAATAGCCGAGAGGGCTGCCTTCATGGCTTGTACACGGGTAGACCAGAAGGAGATGAGCAAGTAGGAGATGACTCCCACGAACTCTCAACCTATGAACAGCATGATGTAGTTGTCACTGAGCACGAGGATGCTCATGAAGACGGCGAACATGCTGAGGGTGATGTAGAAGCGGTTCCTGTGGGCGTCTCCCTGCATGTACTCGACAGCATAGAGCAAGACACAGACAGTGACTACCCCGACGGGGAGGAAGACACACAAAGCAAGTGAGTCGAGCTGGAGACCGTAGTCACTCTGCAGGACACCTTGACTGAACCAGCGTCCTAGTAGGATCTTGCTAGTAGGCTCATAGGAGAAGCTGTACATCTAGATGGTACTAGAGACGTACCCTCTGAGCTTGTAGTAGGCCACTAAGATGCTAAGGCCTATGGCTGACTCTGCACCGGCGATGATGACGATGTAGAAGGCAAAGATGGTCCCACTGAGGTCGCTGAGGGCACCACCCACATGGATGAGGTGGACCGTCACCATGAGAAGGAGGACCTCCAGAAGGATGAGGAGGGTTAGCACGGTAGTGTTGAGGCCTTGGTCTAAGCCATGCTTGACCCATAGGAGCAACAGAGTGCTAGAGATAGAGATCATAGCGTGCTAATGGGGACACTGAGGATAGTAGATGAAGTCTAAGGGCCCCCAGCAGGAGGGGAAGAGGGGTAAGATACGAAGGGAGGCGGCCAAGGAGAAGAGACAGTACTAGAGCTTGAACTGAAGTAAGAACACGCTAAGAGGGGAGGAGAGACCAGTACTGCAGCTTGAAGAGAAGGTACAGCGATTAGAGAGTACTTTCAGACCTCTGAAGGGTCGAGAAAAGTTGTTGTATCTAAGACTGGACTCAAGAAGATCCTCTTGTGACTCCCTCGCACTACCGCGCTGAGTAGCAGCAAGGGCAAGCGCCCACGCTAAGCAGGAGACTGCACGACCACACCGTTGGGAACTGAAACATCTAAGTACCACGGTCTAGAAGTCAACCGAGACGGGCCTAGTACCGGTGAGGGAACGGCCCTCAGCCTACACCTAGCGCCTTGAGGCGTGAAGACAGCAGTGTCAACTGCTAAGGCTAAGCAAGCGCGGTACGAGTCGAAGTACTGAGAAGGAACGTAGGAGAAGTAGGAGGATCTGAGCAGCCATAGTATGGCGTACCTCTTGTATAATGGGTCAGTGAGTTGGGCCTTCAAGTGAGAGCCATCACATGTAAGCAGACCGCTAAAGCAAGGTCAGATTTGAAGGCCCAGACCCGAAAGTGGACGATCTACATACGACCCGGTATGCCCCTAACAGACCCTTAGGCTCAGAGTGACCTCATCTCACTGAGAGAGATCACGAACAGCTAGGTGTACTCAGAGCTTCAGCTCTGGGGCCTTACACCACCAGGTCCTTAGAGGCATGACCTCATAGCTTAGTGTTGCAATACTATCTAGAGAGTCGTATGTCGTAGTGAAAGGCTAACCTAGTCCACCGATAGCTGGTTCTCTGTGAAAGACATCTTAGTGTCACGTCAGGTATGGACAGGTCTGTACAGCACGGAGAGGTACGGGGGGGCCCTAACGGGTCTACCCCTGCTTCTCAACCTCGGAAGGACCGTCCTCCTCAGCCTGGCAGTCAGACCGTACGCGATAAGGTGTTCGGTCGAGAGGGCAACAACCCAGACTATGCTTCGTAGGCCCCCAACCGTAGCCCAGTGGACATGATCCACCTCCCCCAACAGCTAGGCAGCCAGTGGGTTTGACACTAACCACCTGATGATGAACATGTAACAATGCACTGCCTCGATGGATGAGGTGGAGTAGATATACGGGCCTAAGCTACGGGCCGAGACATAGGTCTCCCTACCTCAACGGTGGGAGACGGTAACAGAGCAGCTACCTTAGACACATCACCCCTAATGACTAGACTACACCGGTGTGTTGCATAGCCCCTACTACTACTACGAGAGTGATAGTGATAGGACAAACGGCATACCGCAAAGGTCTAGGTCATTGATGAGCTCAGAAACATAGCACTGTAGTAGAGAGATTAGAGTAGGCAGTCAGACGAGAGTCGGACGGCGTACTGGAAGGGTATACTAGAGTGTTCCCGACGACGACGTTGTCAGGGAGAGAGCAAGGTAGCACGAGTATGCTGACATGAGTAGTGATAGAGGGTCTAGGACCCTCCCCCCAAGCACAAGGTTTAACCACAAAGGCACGGCCCCTAAGTAGTGAGTGAGCCCAACAGCCCACTAGCCTGACAAGGACACTATGATGGGCACACGACCAAGTAAGACGATGTAACCGTACTGTAGACCGACACCGGTGTGCTGCAGAGGGGAACGAGCGAACTGGCCTTAATGAACTCGGCAACCGGGGCTAACCCCCGAAGAAGTGCGACTGTTTACCAAAAACACAGCACTCAGCAGGCTGGCAACAGCTGGTATTGAGTGTGACCTCTGCCCGGCACAGGGCCTCATAGAGTGTAGCGGTGTACTAGCCGCTGCACCACAACGGCTCTGTAAGCGGCGGTCTTATCCTGAGGATCTTAAGGTAGCGAAGTTCATTGGCACGTAATTGGTGTCCCGCATGAATGGCTGCACGACGCTTCAACTCTATCAAGGCCAGGCTCGACGAAGTTGCAATCGCAGTGAAGATGCTGTGTACCTCCAGATTGACAAGAAGACCCTATGCAGCTTCACTCAAGCCTTCCATTGCGGCTCCCATACACCGGCGTACCAGCAAGTAAGAGATCACCTGTAAGCCTTACAACGCTCTAGTAGGGAGTCGCTTATCCACATAGGTCCCTTCAAAGCCAACGTGAGAGCGCTATCCCACTCACAGTGAGATGTCGCCCACGATGTGCTCGAAGGGCGTAATGAAACCGGGAGACAGTGTAAGGTGGAGAGTTTCGATGGGGCGTCGACATCAGAGAGTCCATCTGATGTATCTCGTACTACTAGATGGCCATGCTATCACGATAGCCTACTAGACCACCAGGAGGGTCACAGCTAGCCGGCAACTAGCCTCACAAGGACAATGACCTAAGCCCTCCCCGACCGCCAGACCGACAGGTCGAGCGGGTACGTAAGTAGAGCATAGTGAACAGGTAGAGCTCCGTGATAGAGCTACCGACAATGAATGAAAGTTACGCTAGGGATAACAGGGTCATACCGCTCGAGAGTAGCCATTGTCAGCGGTGTTTGCCACCTCGATGTCGTCTAGGCTCATCCTCCCCGTTGTAGCAGCAGGGAAGGGTAGGACTGTTCGTCCTTTGAAGAGCCACTTGAGATGGGTTAACTACGACGTGAGTCAGTAGTGATTTTATCATCTGGAGGCCATCCATCCCGTCTGCGTCTGGGTGTACGAAAGGATCTTAGACGCTCTCCCTATGGTGCTGGAGACAGCCTACTAGCACGGTACAGTCTTAACAGTCTGTGCCAACACGATGGAGACTCAACAGTCCCCACCAGCTCAGTACAGGCTCATCACTCCTAAGCTACGGAGGGTACGAGAAGCACTGATCCCCTATCAAGTGCCAAGCTACAGACGGAGATGTTATGAACATCATAGACCATGATGAATGAAAGTGCCCCACGATACAATGGAGTATCTCTCTTATCCTCTTTGAGTCCAACTCTCATACAACAACATCCTAAGGGACCATAGATCAATTGGTAGATCAGCCCTCTTGCACAGAGCAGACATAGGTTCGAATCCTATTGGTTCCATATCGATCCAGTCCAGTATGCCTAAGACTACCTCCCCAGTAGGGACTAGCCTCCCATCTGTTCACTCAGAGGATCTAGCTACCTAACCATGACTAGACCAATGCTCTACCTTGACGTCCCAACACCATGAGGGTTCCGCTTCCAAGACTCCGCCTCGCCTAACGCCGAAGGGATCGGGGAGCTCTACGACCACATCATGTACTACCTAACCTTCGTACTAGGGTTCGTATCATACATGCTCTACAGCATCATCCGAACCTTCACCAACAACGCCTTCTCCTACAAGTACCTCAACCACGGTCAAACCATCGAGATCATCTGAACCCTCATCCCAGCCGTCATCCTACTCCTCATCGCCTTCCCAAGCTTCATCCTCCTCTACCTATGTGACGAAGTCCTAACACCTTCCATGACTATCAAGGTCATAGGGCTACAGTGGTACTGGAAGTACGAGTACTCTGACTTCATTGGTACAGAGGGAGAGACGATCGAGTTCGAGTCCTACGTGGTACCGGACGACATGCTAGAGCCAGGACAGCTGAGACTGCTAGACACTGACACTAGCATCGTAGTACCCGTAGACACACACATCCGGTTCGTAGTCACCGCCAACGACGTCATCCATGCCTTCACCCTGCCATCCCTAGGGATCAAGATAGACGCCACACCAGGACGGTTGAACCAAGTCAGCGCTCTAGTACAGCGTACAGGTGTATACTATGGACAGTGTAGTGAGCTCTGTGGAGTCCAACACGGGATGATGCCCATCAAGCTAGAGTGTGTCTCACTGACAGACTTCATCGAGTGAGTAGCAGAGAACAGCTAGCCCTACCAGAGCGATGTAGCTACACGAACCACGACAAGAGCAGTTAGCTCCTATAGCTTAACGGTCAAAGCGATGTACTGTTAATACATAGAGTTCTAGTTCAAGTCTAGATAGGAGCGACGACGTATGTACAGTCCCTTGTAGACTGCTATAGCCACAGCAGTGCCTACTACAGCGCTATGAACACCATAAGCGGGATAGCAAGCTTGATGATCCTAGCCGATCTCTCCCCCATCCACTCCATACTGAGTATGTTGGTACTCTTCATCACGGCAGCCCTGAGCCTCTACCTAGCCGGCTACCACCTCATGGGCATCCTTTATGTCCTCATCTACGTGGGAGCCATAGCCATCCTGTTCCTCTTCATCGTATCCCTCCTCAAGATCAAGCACCTAGCCAACACGGTGAAGACCTCGCCCCTCGTGGTGGTGGCCTTAGCCACAGTGTTGATCCCCTTCGACCTCACACTAGGAGAGAGACGAGTGGTGGAAGAGGCGCCAAGCCTCGCCTACCAGGAGCTTAGCCATGTGGGAACCTACCTGTACTGTGACAGCGCCATCATGCTAGTGGTCACAGGGGTCATACTAATCCTGTCAATCATAGGGGCGATAGCAGTAACACGACGGTAATGGCCTACATCGAACTCATCCTCATCCTCCTCAGCGTCCTACTAGCAGTAGCCTTCCTCACCGTAGCAGAGCGGAAGACCCTCGGGTACATGCAACGACGTGTAGGACCCAATGCAGTAGGGTACTACGGCCTCCTCATGGCCATAGCAGACGCAGCCAAGCTGCTGCTCAAGGAGATCGTCATCCCTACTCATGCTGACAGACTCATTCTGTTCCTCTCACCCATGATCTCACTAGTCTCTGCACTACTGTGCTGAGCCATCATCCCCTTCGCACCAGGGGTGGCAGTACTGGACCACAGCTATGGCTTCATCCTAGCACTGACCATCAGCAGTGTAGGAGTCTTCGGAACCCTACTAGCAGGTTGATCAGCCAACAGCAAGTACTCCCTACTGGGATCGATACGGTCAACGGCTCAGCTCATCAGCTACGAGCTCATCCTCACCACCATTGTACTGTTGTGCATCTTCATAGCCAACACCGCCAACCTGTCAAGGTACGTGGAGCTACAAGAGTCGATCTGAGTGGGGGTACCGCTCCTACCGGTGAGCATCATCTTCTTCATCGCCTGTGTAGCAGAGTGTGCCCGTCCACCGTTTGACAACGTAGAGGCGGAGTCAGAGCTAGTCAGTGGTCACATGACGGAGTACTCCAGCAGCATCTTCGTCCTGTTCTTCCTCGCTGAGTACGCTTCGATCCTGTTCCTCTCGACGCTCACAGCGGTACTGTTCCTAGGTGGAGGTACTGGGGTGGTGCTAGGGCTGAAGGCCAACCTGTTCGCCTTCACCTACATCTGAGTCAGAGCAACACTCCCACGGGTACGGTTCGACAAGCTGATCAACCTGTGTTGAATGGTCTTCCTACCGGTCCTGTTCGGGACGTGCATCTTTTTGCCCTCTATGATCTACCTCCTCGACTCTCAAGCGCTCTAGTACAGAGGCCTCTGAGCTCAAATAAGACCCTAGTAAAGGAGAGAACCAGAAGACGGAATCCCGATTCCAGTGCACCGTCCTAGTGCGGACACAAAGAGACGGGTGAACCGACACGGTGGCATGACTGAGTGGTTTAAGGTATGATATTTGAGCTATCACGGTGAACAACCCGCGTGTTCGAATCACGCTGCCTCCGACACAGCCTCACAGCTCTAGTAGGGCCCTACCGAGGACCCAGGAGCACGAGGCCTCACGGTGCAAGTAGGAGAGCCCAGAGCCCCTAACAGCACGACATGACTATGGCGAAATAGGTAGACGCGGTTAGTTTAGGACTAACTCTCTAAGGGTTCGAGTCCCTTTAGTCATACACCAGCAACCAGCGGCAAGGGCCGAACAACACGCTGATGACACTGATAACACTAACAACACTGAGTGTGAGCCATGGAGTGACGTCCCTCTACAGAGGGAAGGCGAAGGAGATCCTCCTCATCGCCAGCGTACTGCTAGCACTGCCGACACTGTACGACTGGTACGAACTAGAGGTGTACTACACCACCGACGGTCTATCGGACGTCCTGATCATCCTGACGGCCTACCTAGTACCCCTGGCGATGGTGTCCAACTGGAACACCATCGGTGAGCGAACCTACTACGAGCTCGTCCTGCTACTAGGAGCAGTGATCCTCCTCAACTTCATGTGCCAAGACATGCTGGCCTTCTACATCTACTTCGAAGCCTCCCTAGTCCCTCTCTTCCTCATGATAGGGCTCTACGGGGCAGCCAACAGGGAGAAGGCAGCCGACTACGTCCTCATCTACACACTTGTATCGTCCCTGTTCATGCTAGTAGCCTTCAGCCTCTATGAGGTCATGATGAGCAGCACGACGTACCAAGAGGCAAGCATGATGGTCCTATCCATAGACCTACAGTGCATCCTCTTCCTCTCCATAAGCTTAGGGATCATGGTCAAGACGCCTCTAGCGCCTCTACACACCTGACTGCCCGTGGTACACTCAGAGTCACCCTTAGCAGGGTCCATCCTGCTAGCAGGAGTGATACTGAAGCTAGCGGTGTACGCCATAGTCCGCCTGATCCTGCCGTCCCTCACGGAAGCAGCAACCCTCTACACCCCTGTGGTGTACGTGGTGTGCTTGATCACCATCGTGTACACTTCCCTCATCACCCTCCGTCAGACTGACATGAAGGTCATAGTAGCATACAGCTCGATCTCCCACATGGCAGTCTGCATCCTAGGGCTACTGAGCAATACGGTGACAGGGCTGACGGGTAGCCTGGTGCTGTCCCTAGCCCACGGGCTAGTCTCACCAGCTCTCTTCATCATCGTGGGAGGGGTACTGTACGACCGGTACCACAACAGACTGGTGTACTACTACCAAGGGCTACTAGGCTACATGCCAGTGCTAGCCACCTTCCTCCTAGTGCTAAGCTTCGCCAACGTAGGGACACCTCTGACCCTCAACTTCATCGGGGAACTACTGTCACTGTCAGGAGCAGTAGCACGTGCCCCAGTGCTAGGAGCTCTAGCCATCGGATCAGTGCTACTATCAGCAGCCTACCAGATGAAGCTGACCAACCGTCTGACCGGAGGAGTCAAGACCCCTTACATCGCCTTGACAGCAGACTGTACACGTAGAGAGAGAAGCATCCTACTGCTACTAACCGTCCCAACGGTGTACCTAGGGGTGCAACCACAAGCCCTCTTAGACTACCTATGGGACCTCAGCAGCCTGGTCTACTCAAGCTAGACAACCCAGTCCGACGACAAGCGAGACACTGCAGAGTAGTGTAAAGGTAACATGAAAGACTCATGATCTTAAGATGGCTGTTCGACTCAGTCCTCTGCACCGCACAATGGGCCAACGCCACAGTAGGTCACGAAGGAACCATAGCTCAAGGGTAGAGCGTGTCACTCATAATGACTAGATCTCAGTTCGAGTCTGAGTGGTTCTACCAAGGTACAGCGATGTACCACAAACATAGGACTAGCGTGCTAGTCCACACACTGAGAACACCAAGACCACATGAACATGATGTTGGTTCAGACTAAACGCTATCTAGAGGTCTAACACATGCGAGTCAGCCCCAGCGACCAAACAGGAGACTGCGAGGACGCTGAGGCAGGCGAAGAGGTGAGTAGCTAAGCAGAGCCTAACACAGAGGTAGCTTAAGGATGTAGGTAGTAGGGCACCGCTCTAGCCGAGGAACCAAAGCCGATGATGAAGATCACAACGGCCACATTGACCATGAGTCAACTACCCCAGGTAGCAGCAGTGAAGAATCTTTGACAATGGCCTCACGGCTGATCAAGCCATCTAGAAGAGCCAACCAGCTCACAGGCAAGGGAAGCATGATCCCTTGCCCAGTCAGTCCAGACCAAGACATGTGCCAGCAGTAGCGGTTAAACATGATGGGCCAGCGTTAGTCCCCTAGGCCTAAAGGATACGTAGAACAGACCGGAGAAGACCTTAGACAGGTCCCTCCACCTAGACTGCACAGGGGTGCCAAGAAGGACGGTGAGAGAGATGAAATGCTATGACCACCGTCGTACTGCAACGAAGGCACTCCTACGACAGTGACGTTGAGGTATGAAGCCCGCGAGCACGAAGTGGATTCGATACCCACCTAGTCACGGGTGCTAACTTTGATCACCACACCGCTCTAAGCAGCTACGGTAGCTAACGCTAAGAGTGATCCGCCTGAATAGTACGCCCGCAAGGGTGAAACATAAGACATTAGCCGGTTGTAGACACCAACAGTGGAACATGTCGTTTAATAGGATGATCCACCTTGAACCTTACCTCCTCTTGAATCTCACTCCCTTGTCGACCACAGCGCTGGCTGAGTCCCCAGACCCAGGGCACCCCCTGGTGCGGGGTCAAGCCACCGCCGAAGCGACGCAGGGAAAGAGACAGGCATTACATCGTTGTCGTCAGTTCATACTGAGAAGCATGGTGTTCAGTCACCGAATGAACGAAGTCCTCCTATGCCTACAACCAGAGCGGTAGAGTGAGATTCCATGGCGTCCTAGTCGAGAGACGAAGACACCTAAGACTCACCTCTACCCACCTGAGTAGGCCCTATAGACGAGAGCGCCAGCTCTAGAAACTGAGGGTGAAGACTAACCTAGATGATCCTAATGAGGATGGGCCACAGATGTGTTACAAGAGCAGTACAATGACCCCCAACCCCTGCTACTAAGGTAATGAAAGTACCCTTCGATGAATTGAGCCCTGCAACCCGAGCTCATGAAAGAGGAATTGTGAGTAATCGCGGACCAGAGAGACGCGGTGAACCTACTCTCTACTTCGGACTAATCACTCATCAACAGCAAAGCCACCCTACTACTAGTCACAACAGTACGCCGCCCAACACCTAGTACCCACTAGGACGCTTGGGTGTACAACCCTGACTAGCACACCGGGATCATGTGCTGTAAGTTGAAATACAGTTCGGGTAGGGGAACCTGCCCGGGATGGATACACAGATCACAGAACACACCACTACAACGGTGAGATACATAGACTCACCGTCCTAGCCCATATCTTAAGCGGTAAAGAGCTCGATCGATAATCGAGAGATGTAGGTTCAAGTCCTACTAGGCTAAGCTCTTCAGCACCCCCTTAGACTACAACGCCAGTCGACATGCAACTAGCCCTAGCCGCCAAGTACATCGGAGCCAGCATCGCCACACTCGGACTAGGAGGAGCCGCCATCGGAATCGCCCTCGTGTTCGTAGCCCTCATCAACGGTACATCACGAAACCCTTCCCTACGGTCAACACTCTTCCCTCAAGCCATCCTAGGATTCGCCCTCAGCGAAGCCTGTGGTCTATTCTGCCTCATGATCTCCTTCCTGCTACTCTACGCTGTCTAAGCGACAACACCGTAGTAGCACCAGACATGAGTACCCAACGTAATGAATATACCCAACGATGTAATGTACCACCGACCTGAACCCACCAACACGTCAGTCTGACACCCACCTACCACCAACATGACTCTAAGGAAGTCCAACACCTTCGTGTCACTCATCAACAGCTACCTCATCGACAGCCCACAGCCTAGCTCTATCAACTACTGATGGAACGTCGGATCACTACTAGGTCTCTGCCTAGTCATCCAGATCGCCAGCGGTGTGTTCCTAGCCATGCACTACACCAGCAGAATCGACCTAGCCTTCGACGCCGTAGAGCACATCATGAGAGACGTCAACGCTGGGTGACTGATACGATACATCCACGCCAACGGAGCCTCCTTCTTCTTCATCTGCATGTACCTCCACATCGGGAAGGCACTATACTACGGGAGCTACAAGGCTCCTAGAGTAGCGGTGTGAGTCATAGGAGTCATCATCTTCGTCCTAACCATCGCCATAGCCTTCATGGGTTACTGCTGTGTCTACGGACAGATGTCACACTGAGGAGCTACAGTCATCACCAACCTCCTAAGCGCCATCCCCTTCATCGGGAACGACATCGTGCCGTTCATCTGAGGTGGCTTCAGCGTCAGCAACCCTACCATCCAACGGTTCTTCGCCCTCCACTTCCTCCTGCCGTTCATCCTAGCCGCTCTAGTGTGCATGCACTTCATGGCACTCCACGTCCATGGGTCATCGAACCCAGTCGGTGTGACAGGGAACATAGACCGTCTGCCAATGCACGGCTACTACGTCTTCAAAGACCTCATCACAGTCTTCATGTTCCTCATCCTGTTCAGCACCTTCGTCTTCTTCTCTCCCAACACCATGGGACACCCGGACAACTACATTCCTGGTAACCCTCTCGTGACACCACCATCCATCGTCCCAGAGTGATACCTACTGCCATTCTACGCCATCCTACGGTCTATACCCGACAAGCTAGGTGGAGTAGCGGCTATGTTCGGAGCCATCGTCATCCTACTAGCCCTACCAGTGACGGACAGATCAGTCATCCGAGGGAACACATTCAAGATGGCAAGCAAGCTAGCCTACTACCTGTTCATCTTCAACTTCGTCCTCCTGGGGAACCTCGGGCAGCTACACGTTGAGGTACCGTTCATCGCCCTAGGACAAGCAGCAACGCTGTACTACTTTGCCCACTACCTAGTGGTGGTACCGCTGATCTCGACACTGGAGAACCTCATCTTCTACCTGTCAGTCCAACGGGACTAGGTGGAGGAGTCGGTTCACTCACCGAACAGACCCGCCAAGGAGAGACCACACCTGGTGCACCACAACAGTGGTGTGCACCTTTTGAGGACCTAAGAAACAGGTCTGCACCAGAACGCTTAGTCACTTTGGAGACTCGAACCATCTAGTAAAGGAGAGACCCAAAAAACTTGAACCTAACATCACCTCAACGTACTCATCCATCGATGCCCAAGACAACGTCCTCATCCATGGAAGCCAAGGTGTCAACCACCTCCTCACCATGACGACCTAAGCCAACGTCAAGGTGACCAAGATGTCCTCGTTGAGGTCATGAGAGTCACCAGACGTACAACACGGTGAAGTCAAGATAGACTGACGTGTAGGCAGGGAGTTGGAGTGAGTCAACGCTACAGCACAGAAACGCGAAATCTATATTTCTAAAGGGGAGCGATGGAGGATCTCCACTCCTCCCCTACCCCGGGAGTCAACCGGAGCACCCAGGAGACAGCAGTGGAGAACAGACTAGCTGCGACTGGGTAACAGCGACGGGTCAACCGGGACAGCACCCAGTCGACAACAGTGAAGAACAGACTAGCTGCGATTGGGTAACTGTGACGGGACCACCAGTGGCCATGCCCACAAGGCACCACCAGCTGGTCAAACCCAGTAGTACCGGGGGGAGATGAAGGGGGCTACGGGGAACTACGAAAAGTAGAATCCTAATTATTATGAAGCGGCCACCTCCGCCTCCATTAGCCCGCGCGATGCCCC